GTATCTGTCTCTCACTCATGGAATAAATAGATAAACTTTTTAAAAAGAAGCCCAATCATCTACAGACTTAGTGGTAACTGAAAGAACTTTAGTTTTTACTTTGAAAGAGATAGAAAGTCATATTTGAAAAATTCAGATATGGAGCTGATGTAATCTAGATTATATTTGGAAAAGGCTTTCTCTGAGTGAAAGAGATATGGAATAAGAGAGAAATAGTCTAGGAATGGCTAGAGATTTGCTTTCTCAATTTGCCCTGTCTTTGAAAGTAAGAACTAGAAGGCAAGAGGACAAGTGTTCAGAAAATACAGACTCTTGGAGATGTTTCAAGTCCATTTTGCAAGAAAACTCACTCAGCCTGTACCAAGAGTTCCTATGGCATTATTTTCTAGCTGATGTTTCCAAAAACAGGGATGTGTAAAGTCAAAGTGGGAGTTTCTTTCTTTCTTTTTTTGAGCGATTTTTGCTATAGGGTGCATACACTCACCGAAGAGAGAGAGAGAAGTCAAAGTCACCCCTCAGGGGGTCATGGCTATGCTGCAGTCCCTTCTCCTGGGATCTTGGACATGCATGCAAATGTGCCCAACAGCTGCAATCCTTTCTTCTCCCTTCTCCTCTTGGGAACTTGGGCATGCATGCAAACATGGCCAACATGAGTTTGAAGCCACTGGGTCCAGGGCTTGAACTGCGGTTGGCTATGTGGGAGTCCAGCAAAGTAAATTCTTTGCCATCTGCTGGTTCCCGAAAGTGGAAGTTTCTTGATCGCAATTTACAAAAGGTTAGAGCATTTAGTTACTCAGGGTTTCAGAAATCTTTCTCTGTGAATGAGCAGACCAGCAGGTGTGAAGAAGAAAATGATAAAGGTAGAGGACAGTGTTGCTGGAGAGTACTGAGCCTTAAATAACCAAAAGATATTTACATCAAAAGGGAGAAGTAATGACTTAGGAACAGCCATGGCAAGTGAGGAAGAAGTTGATCCTATCTAACTTAGAAGCAGGTGGGTCAAAGGAGGACAGCAGCAAACCTTTGAGAGGGCTGCAGAGGAAACTATGTCTTGTCAAAGGCCAGGTTTAAGGACAGATCTAAGGTATCGTGAGACAAGCTGAACAGTTTGGGTCCAGCACGACTGCTTCCATGTGAATCCCTATAAAGAGTTTTTGGGATAGTGAAAGGCCTATGAGCCTCTCCACAAGGAGTCAGCATAGGTCAGGCCTGCGTGGGCTCCCAGGAAATCCTGTACAAGACGGGCAGGCTAGAAACATCATTGTGTCCAGAATCTTTCCCATATACGTACCAAAAAAAAAATAAATAAATAAAAAGCAAACAACAGCAACGAAAAAATCATCCACTAGATCCTAGCAGATTTTCTGTGTGTGTGTGTGTGTGTGTGTGTTTTTAAGAATTATTGTTTGTTTGTTTTTTGCCTTAGGGCATGAGTCTCCGGGAGAGGAGTGACAGAGAGATATCAAGAGGAAAAGTGAGAAATCACCCCCTGGGGAGATGGCCACAACACAATTCCTTCTCCTTCCCTCTCCTCTTGAGATTTTGGGCATGCACACATGTGTGCCAGAGTGATCTTCAAGCTGCTAGGTCCAGGATTCAAACCATGGTCAGTCATATGTGAGTACAATGCCTTAACCACCATGTTACCTGCTGGTCCTGATCCTGGCATATTTTAAGGAAAGGGTACTGCTTTGTCTGAGGTTGGTTAGGGCCTAACTCTATCTTAAAAATTTACATTCATTGGGATTATTAATCCTCAAGGCCATTTTAGATAAGAGTTTAACATATATTAGAGGCCCAAATTAAACAGTTAAGCAGAATGGGCTATAGATTTAACTCACAGCTGATTATATAATCTTTAACAAGCAATTTTTAACAGCTCTACTACGGTTTCTTATTTTAAGTAACTGCCTAAGATAATGTCTGACTCCTTCCTGTTGTAACAGACAAGTAAGACCATATTCTCCCTCCTGTTATCACAGGCATGTAAGACCATATTTGTAAAAGCTTGTTGGAGGAAAGGAGTAAAATCTAGATGGTGTTAAACATAACTACCAAACTAGAAAATTTTGCTAATAAAATTATAATCAACAACTTAATGCAGACAACAGTACAAAACTGAGACAACTGGGCATTTACTTTTTTTTTAAGAGAGATTTGTTGCTATAGGGCACGTGCACTCACTGGAGAGACAGAGAGAGACAGAGAGACAGAAAGCGAGAAATCACTCCCCGGGAGGGGATGGCCACATCACAATTCCTTCTCCTCCATTTTTCTCTCAGGATTTTGGGCATGCACACATATGCACCCAGTGTGAGTTTTGAGCCACTGTGTCTGGGACTCAAACCGCAGTAGACTGTGGGAGTCCAGTAACGTAACCATTATGCCATCTAATGGCTCCAGGATTTATCATTTTTTTTGGGGGGGGGGGGGGTTTTTCTATAGGGCGTGTGGGCTCCTGCTATAGGGCGTGTGTGCTCACCTGAAAGAAAGAGAGACATAGAGACAGAAAGTGAGAAATCACCCCCTCAAGGGAAATGGCCATGCTGCAATCCCTTTTCCTCCATTCTCCTCTTGGGATCTTGGGCACGCACACACACCTGCCAGGTGTGAGTTTAAGCCACTGGGTCCAGGACTCAAATCGCGGTTGACTACATGGGAGTCCAGCGACATAGCCATTACACCAACTGCTGGTCCCAGGATTTATCAGTTTTAAGACTTGATAAATAAGCTTAAACTACCTTGCAATGAAATTACAACATATGTTTCTATACAGCTACTCCTGGCTTAATGATTGACCTGTTTAACAACCTCTCAGACTTACCACCAGCATGAGAGAGTCCCTTTCTCAGTCTGTGTGAGCCTCAGGAATATCATTTCTCAGTCTTTGTTGCCTTCACACAGTTGGTTAGTACTCACGACACAAAGTGTTTGTAATCATGCAGGATTATATATTTAGTTTATAAATCTGTACTTTACTATACACCCATAGCTGGACTTATATTATTATGTTGTGGTATGTCTGATGCTTACTGGTGATCATCTAATGTGTGCTTTTCATATGGACAGAATTACATTACTCAGCTGATGAGGGCTGCATGGTATCTACTGAAAGAACATAACACAAACAAGATACCCACCTTTAATTCCTCACTTATCAACCAATTCACTTAATGACCTAGCCCTAGGAGTGGAACTTGGTCATTAAGTGAGGAGCATATGATTTATTCTTGAGAATCAGAACACTCAAATTAATCAATCAAATTAATTATATTCAACATCTTTAGTGGCATAAGAAGTACAGATTAAAACTATCAAATATTATTTTCTCTTTATCTAATTAATCAACATTTTAAAAGTCTGAGAATACTTAGTGTTTATAAGTATAAGCGAGTATTTTCCTAAACATTGCTGGTTGGTGAATATATGATATGACCTTTTATTGCATTGTTGGAAAAGTCCATGACGCATTTTTGCATAGAAAAATGGAAAAATATGTCATAACTTTTCTGATGACCCAATAGAAAAACAATTTGGTAATGTTTATCCAAACATAGGGTATGTTATCTTTTAATTTCACAATTCCACTTATAGAATTGAACCTACCAAAACACTCTTATACAAATACACATACACAGATACAAAAGGTGTTTAATGCACTACTGTTTCTAAAAAAAAAAGGGAGAGTAGTAAAAAAAAAACACTTATATACGTGTGTGTGTATATGTAAAATTACAATAAACAATTATCACATTATTTACATAAGAAACACATATACCAAAAACTTCTCTAATTTTCAATCTAAAATTCATTTCAACAGAAAGCCTTATCAATTTTTGAGCAAAAGGCTACAGGTACACTTCAATAGAAATTAGAAAAATGTGCTTTTGTGTCATATCTTTGGGAAGTACACATTAAAGGAAAAAGATTATTTAACTTTTTTTAAAGACGTAAGTAATGCTGGAAAAAAGACAGCCAATCTTTTCACAAATGCCCCTTAAAGCAATTAGGATTGGCAACAAAGTATGACTATGAAAAATGACTTTGTACTGACTATTAATATAAAATAAATGTAAGTTACTATGTAATAAAAGATGCAATTAAGAGCTAAAAATGACAGACCCTTAATGAGAATTCATTAGGAGTTAGGAGTAAACTGAATGTAGAAAACAATATATTCAACGTCAAAGCTTTATGTATTTATTTCAATAGTCCTTCTCTAAAATAATGACTAGAATCCCAACATACATTTACAATATGACGCGAACAATGTACAAAGTACACTTTTAAATGTGCTGCAAGTAACTGAAATGTCTTCTAATTACTTCTGCATTTAAAACCTTAAGAGGGGCTGGCAGGTGGCATGGTGGTTAAGGGCACTTAACCACATGGACTCCCACATGGCGGGCCATGGTTCAAGTCCTGACCTGGTGGCTTCCTTTCTCACTTTCCCTCTCTCTCTCTTGCTCTGCCCCTCTCTGGTCAAAATTAAAATAAATAAATAAATTTAAATAAAATAATAATCCTTAAACAAATTAAAACCTTAAGAAAGAGCTAATAAGATAAGCACATTTAAAGTACTAGATGGTCTGCTCTTTTTTTGCCTAAGAGTCTTACACTAGCAAGAACCATCAACAAACAGTATCAAACTAGGTTCTTATACACTTATAACTCTTAAGTATATGTTTTCATCTAAACATGCACTAATACCTACATAAAATCTTCACACCTCTTTAATTTCAACTTTCTCTTGGCAAACACGTCAAGTAAAAGGGGCAGCATGGGCTCACAAGAGGTGCCGATGCTGCCTCCTGATGAACTACTCAGCAGGACCCTCACCCTAGGACTTACAGCACTGCTTTACATGTTCAGTGGCCAAGGACATGACCATCATTCTATACAGTGCAGAGTAAACATTCTTTTAGGTAGGCTGACTGAGAGTTACAAACTGGCACATTGCCCCCAAAGCCTGACAAATTAGTTATACGCAAGATACTCACATCAGCATAGTGGCCTATCATATCACATCGGTCACATCGTTTTTTCCAGGAAGCTTTTTCGAGACATTTGTGAGCAGAAGACACAGGCAAAGAACAGTGAAAGCAAAAGCGGGCTGGACAGGCATACTGGAGGTGTCCTCTCTCAGAGCAGAGGCAGCAGGGGCGAACTTTCTGTGCGACAAACAGAAAATCTCTTTAGCAAAACACTTCAGTATCAGATAAAGGAAGATTAATATTTCTTTTTCAATATAATCCCATAAATAGTCATTCCCAATTTGAGACCTCAACAAAGGCCCAATCTTGAGTATAATTACAAAATAAACAAAATGTCTGGGGAACCAGCAGTTAGCGTAATGGCTATGTCGCTGGACTCCCACGTAGTCGACCGCTGTTCGTGTCCCAGACCCGGTGGCTTAAAACTCACGCCGGGTGAGTGTGCGTGTGTGCCCAAGATCCCGAGAGGAGAATGGAGGAGAAAGGATTGCGGCGTGGCCATCCCCCCTGGGGGGTGATTTCTCGCTTTCTGTCTCTCTGTCTCTCTCTGTCTGTCTGGCGAGTGCACGCGCCCTACAGTGAAAATCTCTCCAAAAAAAAAAAAGTCTGAAACTAGAGGCTTTGATATGTGCTGTCTCTATAACGTGGTTACCAAAAAGGCTGATGCACATACTGTAGGCTGGCACTTATTTCTTGTGCCTTGTCTTACAGAAATGTTAAAGTGGAAGGTATCTAAGAGGGAAAGGAGGATGATGAGGATATCTGGGAGCCAAGTCAGAGGAGGAACACATACAGAAGACGCTGCTTTGCCTGGGGAAGCAAAAACAAAGAGGAGACATGAGAGCTGTCTCAAGTATTTGAAAGACACTCATTTGGAAGAGGGAATACGTAATGGACGGAATGTTTATTAAGAGCTATTGTATGTCAAGGAATGTCTAAGAGCTTTAGTTCTGTGTTGTTTCAAAGGTTGACATACCCGCTTAACATAATTCACATTAATACACATTTTTAAGTGCCTAAAATAATACTTTTATTTTTTTTGGAGAGGTTTTCGCTATAGGGCACGTGTGCTCACCAGAAAGACAGAGAGAGACAGAGAGATAGAAAGCGAGAAATCACCCCCAGGGGGGATGGCCACACCGCAATCCCTTCTCCTCCATTCTCCTCTTGGGATCTTGGGCATGCACGCATACGCGCCCGGCGTGAGTTTAAGCTGCCGGGTCCAGGACTTGAACTGTGGTTGACTATGTGGGAGACCAGCGACACAGCCATTACGCTAACTGCTGGTCCCTAAAATTACAATTTTTTAACAATGAAAATGATCCCACAATGAAACATGTTGCCTCGTAAAGTAGGCTGAGAAGTGAAAGAGGTCTCAGGAACCATCTGATTCAATCTTCTCACTTTATAGATAAGAAAAAAGAGGCACAGAAGGTTAAGTGATTTGTCCAAGATCATACAACTAGTAATAAGAAGCTGAAATTAATTCCAGGTTTTTCCAACTCTAAATTTACTGTTCTATCCCTTACACCAGGCTGTGTGCTACATATAATTTAACAGACACATTACAAAATATTTTAATTTGAAGGTGTGAGGGTTCCAACCTTAAGATTTTGACTTTAAAAAGGGGAAAGAAGCATTACATATTTCACGTACTTGTGGTAAGGGGCAGTTTTTTGATAAATGGCCACATTTGTCACAATTTCTACAGGTAACATTTTTGTTGGTCGAATAGTATCGATGGGTCCATCTTCCAGATGATCTTTTATTACCTATTTGGGCCTAAGATGGGAAAAAAATAAAATCAATCATTTAAAAAAATCATTTCACTCTGTTTAATAAACATCATCTATACTTCTTTTTAAAGACAACTCTCAATGAATGAAGAATCATCAAACTTCAAGGCAGCCCCATTACCTTGACAAAGCCAGTGAATTAACAGTCACATTTGTTCAATTTAGAACCTAGAACTTTGTGCTCTCCCTTGTTCTCTTAAAAAAAGGTAGAAAAGCACATAAAAGGTTGCTATTAAAGATAAGTCTACTCTGCCCGTTCTTTGACACTTTTCCATGACTCCTTCCCTGTGTTTTTCTCTACTTGTGGTTCAGGTCTAGTCAGGGAACTGACATGCATCATTTAAACATCACTTAAACATTCTGGTAGCATTCAGACTTGTGTATTTGAATATACAACACAATGTTCTGAATAAGAAGCCTGCTTAAGTTTTTCAGTTAGGGGATAGTGTTTTTATGAGTTTATTTTTATGAAGTGATAAAAAGTTACACATTACCAAATACATTCCTTCTTTTGAAAAGAACAGGTTTATTGCCCACTGTTTGCATTATAATTTCGAAAGGCAATTTCCTCCCACTGGGGTCCTTTAAGATCCATTCTGTCTACATAGTGACCCAATTCTAGCTGCCTCATAATCTAGTAAAAATCTAAAATCTTTCAAGAGAATATTAGCAAATCATATGATATGGAATATCTCAAGAGGAATATGTAAATCCCAACCATGCTTTTATCTTGCTTGGTAGAATTCCATCTTTGAAAAAGCTTTTATCTTTTACTTGTTATTCTGTTGAATTGGCCAAGTAGACTACAATTAGGTATAATCTAGTTATCTCTTAAAATTTTTACTGAGTTGGAAAATTATTCTTTTATAGCATCTGCCACAATCAAGGCTAATAATCTCCGAAGACAAACACCTGCCACCATCCTAAATATAGACTAACCATTTCCTTACGCTGAAGAAGCAGTTATTTCCGGTGTTGATCTTCAGTGGTATAAGGCCATGCGGGCCGAGAGGACTACCATAGCAGAGAAGGAACAGAGAGGGAAAGGGGACTAAACCACTATGGCTATTAATTGACTGACAAAAAACAAGGCTGAATCAAATTTATGAAAAGTAACATCACTCATATACTAAAATTAAACTTTTAAAAGCCACTTAGACCACTGCTATTTTTTAGAAAATGTTTATTAATCATAAAAATGTTAACACAATAAAACCAAAGGAAAGTATTTAGAAGTTGAAAAACAGCTTGATTTTTACCTCAACGTCTTTGTCACTGACGAACCAGTTTACCCCATCTTCTCCTACAAAACAAATGAAATGTTAGTCAACCTTGGCATCTCCAACGTATTTAGAGATTGACAATAGATTATTCCATTTGCTGGTATGCAACCTGGACCACAAAAGCATAGTGAAGAATGTTGAATATCTTAATTCTAACCTTAGCTCCATCATTATCTGTGTGGTTCTGGACACATAACTTCTTTGAGTCTCAGTTTTCTTTTCTTTTCTTTCTTTTTAATTATTTTTTTTTGAGAGATTTTTGCTATAGGGCACATGCGCTTGCCAGAAAGACAGAGAGAGACAGAGAGAGACAGAAAGTGAGAAATCCCCCCCCCCCAGGGGGGATGGCCACGCCGCAATCCCTTCTCCTCCGTTCTCCTCTCGGGATCTTGGGCATGCACATACAGGCACCGGCATGAGTTTAAGCCATCGGGTCCAGGACTTGAACCACAGTCAACTACGTGAGAGTCCAGTGACATAGCCATTACACCAACTGCTAGTCCCGAGTCTCAGTTTTCTTACCTGTGAAATGAGCACAATAGTATTTACCCTGTCTACCTAAAAAGTCCTGTGAGAATCAAATAATAGATGTGAATATGCTTTGAAAATCATCAAACTATATATAAATACAAAAAAAAAAATCAGTGAAAGGACCAAAAACCCAACAGTGGATGCAGAAAGAAATCTTACCTCAACTTCCTTTATCTCACTAAAACAGAGCTTAATAGAAAGGCAGCCATCAAGAGCCGTCCTCCTCCCTGAAGGAGGTCTCTAGTCAGGTAGGGAACTCACCTTGGGCACTGAGACATACCAACAAATTGTGTAGGGTTGACCTTGTAGGCACTATGTGAAAGGAGCCAGATCCCACATGACTGGTTTAAATCTCGGCCCCAGTGGCTTGAAAACCACACCAGGCATATGGGTGCATGTGCCTAGGATCCTGAGGGAAAGGAAGAATAGAGGAAGGGATTATAGCTTGACCCAGACCCCATGGGTGATTTCTTTCTCTCTTATGTACCCTTTGGCATAAAAAATTGTTCAGAAAAAAATTGTGTAAACAAGTCTTTCAGAACGTTTCTGCCCTTTGAGTCCCTAAGATACATTCTGATCCGTTTTTTTTTGTGTGTGTGTTTTGAGAAAAAAAGGGTCAAAGTAGCAAATTATTTTAAACGTTTAAGGACCTACCAAGTTGTTCACTTAAAGTACTGTTAGAAAATTTATTTATTTATTTACTTATTTTTCCTTTTTTTTTTTTTTGGAGAGGTTTTTGCAATAGGGCGCTTGCACTCAACAGAAAGACAAAGAGACAGAAAGTGAGAAATCACCCCCCAGGGGGTATGGCCATGCTGCAATCCCATCTCCTCCATTCTTCTCTCGGGATCTTGGGCACGCATGCATACACGCCTGGCGTGAGTTTAAGCCACTGGGTCTGGGACTTGAACTGTGATCAGCTACATGGGAGTTCAACAACATAGCCATTACACTAACTGCTGGTCCCTGACCCCTGGTTTTGTTAGATTGGTATATTAACCTTTTCCCTCTATAACCCTCTAAACTCGTCACCAAGTTAATCACCACTGAATGCTCACATCAATAACCCCTGTCTTTGCTCCAGTTCATCTGTCCACTGTCAGTTAACTAGCAGGTACCGGACTTGGCCTAATTTGGTAGAGGAAAAGATTTTCCTCCCAACATCAGAATCAACTGTGTCCACTAGATTTCCATTTCAGACAACTTTCTTTTTTTTTAGAGAGAGACTTTTGCTATAGGACATGTGTACTCACCAGACAGAGACACAGAGAGAGAGAGAGAAAGTCAGAAGTCACTCCCGTGCAGGATAGCCACATTGCAATCTCCTCTCCTTCATTCTCCTCTCAGGATTTGGGGCAAGCATGCACATGAGCCCAGTGTGAATTTTAAGTCATCAGGTCTAGGACTTGAACTGTGTTTGACCATTATGCCATTGGCTGGTCCCTAGGCAAATTTCATTATAATATTTTTAAAACTTAGATTTTGAATACTATGGCACTACCAGGGTTAGGAACTTAATGGTATATTTTATAACATCAAAAATAGTGAAGTGAAGGGGTAAAAGAAGCGGTTAAATATCCAGTGATCACTGATTCATCTAAAAATACAACCGTAAAAACTTGAGAGGGAAAAAACATATTTTTCTGTATAAGCTATTTTCTCCTCGTTGTACTTCTCTTTTACAAACCTGTAAATAGGTGCTATTCCTTTGCCCACCCATGGCTAAGGAGGAAGGGACCTCTGATGAATGCAGAAGCCAAGGTGTCAACAAAGGACCAGAAAACTCCCTCCCCCCAAAGCAAAGTTAAGATTTCCTCCTTCCTCCTACCTTACTACTTTCCTCTGTCTCAAAAACACAAATTGAACTTGACTAGTTTCTTTGAAAGGAATTTTGAAGCGATATAAAGCAATCTATATTTTCCCAGGCCTACCAGGAGTAACTGTATAAAGATAAATATTTGAAATAAAATATTTGTACTAAGAAAATCATGAAGCTGTTTTACAAAAAGACCAATCCACAGGAAAGCAGAGATGCTGTGCTGCTGATTATTTTCTTTGTAAAACTTAGAGGCTGCATCCACACACTGGGAGTGGAGAATACATTAACTAGCAGCAGCTTCTGTTCCTTCATCATCACCATCCGTGCTGTTCTTTCATTCAAAGGATCCGTGTAAGGAGCATGCTTCGCTGTAACTTTCAAAGCTGCCTTTTGTAGTTCAATGTCCTTCATCACTAAAATTAACAATGACCACTTGAAATCACTTAAACTATAAAAATAACTTAATGTTGTTCTTAAAAAAAAAGAAATGCAGTGGGCCAGACAGTAGCACAGTGGTAACATGTGACACTCCCTACGTGTGCCCATGATCTGGGACAGGCTAAGGCTGGGCATGAGTCGCGAGGCCAAGACACTGTTGGAAGTATTGTCTCTCTCTCTCAGTCAGGGAACATATCAATAAACAGACTTCGAAAATATATACTTTTAAAAAGAATGTAAAACCAGCGAAATGCAAAAGAGCAACTGTGACCACTCCTGAACTCCCAATAAATCTATACATACAGAGAAGAGTTTAAAAAAAAAGTTAGAGATTGACTCTATTTACACTGCTATTTATTTATTTATTTATTTATTTATGTTATTGTTGTTATTATTATTATTACTATTATACATTCGATTGCTATATGTCATTTGACTTGTAAAGAGAACTTACCCAACATGAAATATACCTCAGACCAGATCAGTTGAGAATACTATACACGTTATCATCAACAAGTTAGACTGCTTTTTATTTTGAAACATTTACTCATGGGACCAGCAGATGGTACAATGGTTACGAAGCTGGACTCCCATGTAGTTGACTGTGGTTCGAGTCCTGGACTTGGCTCCTTAAACCTCACGCAGGGTGCTTGTGTGTGCATGCCTAAAATCCTGAGAGGAGAATGGAGGAAGACGGACTGTGGCGTGGCCATGATTTCTGGCTCTCTCTTTCTCTGTTTCTTTGGCTAGTGCACACATCCTATAGCAAAAATTTATCTCTAAAAAAAAACTCATTTATTTATTTCTTCCATGAGTGTGTTTGTGTGTGTGTGTGGGGAAGGGCAGAGTGTAAGCATGCAAGAGCATGCAGCAAAAGCTGCAGTCCATTCTAAGCCCCTGCCAGCCCAGGACCATGGGCACCCAGTGCATCTGGCATACTCAGGAAGAACTCTGGACTTGACAGGTAACCTCCCACATGGGACTGCCTCACAGACATCACGTTTTATTACCGTGTCATCATCTGGACCACTTAGATAGTTTTAACATTCCTGTGGAATGCAACAATATTCTATTGACAGGTTATATACTAATAACTTCTCAAGAAGTTGCGGTAATAGTGTGGAAAATTCATCAAGTACACAAACAGGCTTCAATTATACGTGAAATCAGTACTTTTCAAGTGATAAATGAAACAAAGACATCATCAACAAGTATACAAGGAGTTGGGAACCAGCAGTTAGCATAATGGCTATGTCGCTGGACTCCTACGTAGTCGATAGCGGTTCGCGTTCCGGACCCAGTGACTTAAAACTCATGCCGGGCGCGTGTGCATGCGTGCCCAAGATCCTGAGAGGAGAATGGAGGAGAAGGGATTGCAGAGTGACCATCCCCCCTGGAGGGTGATTTCTCTCTTTCTGTCTCTATGTCTCTCTCTGTCTGTCTGGCGAGCGCACGCGCCCTATAGTGAAAATCTCTCTAAAAAAAAAACAAATAAAAAAAACAAGTATACAAGGAGTGTGGATGTGCTTCTTGAGTAGTAAACAAAGCAAAGCTATCACAAGGTACACATAAAGCAACTCTTGGCCCTGCTCTGGGGTTCTAAGGTTTCAGTCTGGTTTAGCCCGCAGACAGCTGACTCCTGCACTTGGGTCTTTTACCTACCTGCTTCTTGTCTAAGCTCCGAATCCCAACCAATGAAAGCCTTGTCTAGGGAAACTCATTAGAACCTCCATGGACAGCCAATTCTTCATTTTGTTCATTTCTGGTTAAGGTTTTTTTCTTTTTTTCTTTTCTTTTTTTTTTTTTTTTCCCACTATAGGGCGCGTGCGCTTGCCAGACAGACAGAGAGAGACATAGAGACAGAAAGCGAGAAATCACCCCTCAAGGGGGATGGTCATGCCACAATCCCTTCTCCTCCATTCTCCTCTCGGGATCTTGGGCACGCACGCACACGTGCCCGGCGTGAGTTTTAAGCCACCGGGTCCGGGACGCAAACCATGGTTGACTACGTGGGAGTCCAGCGACATAGCCATTACGCTAACTGCTGGTTCCCAGGCTAAGGTTCTTGATAGAAACCTGGCTTGTGGGGCCAGTAGGCAGTGTGGTGGTTAAGTTGGACTCCCACATGGCCCACTGTGGTTCAAGTCCCAAACCAGGCAGCTTGCTTTCTCACTTTGTCTCTCTCTGGTGAGCTTATGTACCCTGTAGAAAATTAATGCAATAATAATAAAT